TCGCTGCAGCCAGGGTCCGCCCGCACCGGACCGAGGCCGGGCCGGGCCGGCGGCAAGGCAGCGGGGGCTGCGGGCGGCGGCAGCGGCTCATGCCCGGCCTGTCCCCGCGCGGGGCGGGCACCGTGACTCGGCTGGGCCCCCAGCGGCGGGCGATGTGAAGATGTCAGTGGGCTGTGCCTGTCCTGGTGAGTGGGGCGTGCAACCGCCCGGTCCCTCCCTAACCCCTCTCTGCGGACCCTCACCCCTTGTTTGGTGAGAACTTGTGTGGGGGCCCATAGATGGCAGTGGGGAGGTGAGGGGCTTTAAGGGTTATGTGGGGCCTCAGCCCAGGGAAGGGTTTCCCACAACTGTGTAAATGCGCAACAGTCCAGAAGCACGGGGAGGGGTGCTGGGGGGTAGCTTATATGTATATGTTGGGGGAGGTTAACTGAGGAGGGGGTTTGGGGGGGGGTTGAAATTCCCAGAATTCCAGGGTATTAGCCAATCAGAAGTGACTCTGGACTTTTGACCCCCCCCTCAGGTCATCATAGAGTTGTGATTGGCTGGTTTGGGTCCCCCCCCCCATCCCCTACTGCTTTTTCTCTCCTACATATCTTATGACCCCACCACCACCAGGACCACCACTCAGTTTCTGAGGACCATTTATTGGGGAAGGGATTGGTTAGGGACCATATTATTTCCTCCTCCCCATTTTTCATGCCTGTTGTCAGGGAAGGTTGGACCTCCCGAGGATAGGAGCTATTCCTAGGGGGATGCCAGATAATTGGGCCCTTGGGTCTGGCATGTTTGCCCTAGTGGGAGGGGGAATGTGGTGACTCCAAGCTGGGAAATGGAATGATGTATGGAGAGTTGGGGAAGCAACCCCTCACCCTAAAATGAGAACTTGGGAGAAGATCCAGGCTCAGATCCCTGCTTTCCCAAAACAAATGGCATCTCCTGCCAGTGTAAGTCTGGATCTGAGCTGTGTCCCAGGATGGGAATAAGAAGTGGGCCGTACCTCACTGCTAGAATATTCACAGAGCATCAGAACACTGTCTAACCCCATTCTTGGCACTTCTGGGTCCTTAAATTATCTGCAAGACCCCTGTACTATCCCAGTCTGGAGTCAACTTTCTCCTGGAAGTTGGGTGTCCTTTAATCTAGCTTCGGTTTTGACTCCAGATACCTGATTTTTTGAAAGCCCCATACCCCACCAATGGACCCTACACACTATCTCCAAGGGAAGTTGCCAGTGTCAAAGCTTCCTTGAAAATCATGTGACCTAGGCTGGGCTGGGCACACACTTAAAGTGCCTGCTTAGGCTGACATTTAGGGGCATGGGGCCCAGAGGGAAGGCTAGTAGAACCTGAGGATCCTGGAATATCCTGGTGTGGAAACCCTTGACTTCTGCTGCAGAGGTTAGGGGAGAGAAGGAGAGGGGAGAACTTGCCAAGTTGGAATCCTGTCTGGTCCCAATATCCCTCCCCTTATGTGCATGCTTTTGTTTATATTTTCTCCATTATAACTGCTCCATGTTGAGTACCCTCCTTGGTTCAGATCTATACATGTTGTAAGGCCACCCCATACTCTGACTCTCCATCACTACATATGAGCACAGCAGAAGCAAAAGCTCTAAACAAGCTACAGAGATAAGTCTTAAATTTCAGATTTTCAGTTCCCACAAATAGTGGTAGGGGTTGTCAGGTTGAAGTTGGGTGGTAGGGTATCACTGAAGTTGGGGCAGAGTGCTTGGGTTCAGTGGGAAGGGGAAGAAAGTTTCCCCCTCAGTTCTTCTGGGAGCAGCACAAGGACAGGAAGAGGACACAGGTTGTGTGTGTGTGTGTATGAGTGTGTGTGTGTGTGTGTGTGTGTGTGTGTGTGTGTATAGGGGATAACTTTAGTCAGTGACTCCAAAGGTATGTTCCTTTTGTGTGTCTGTTGGTTGGCCTGGCTAGGAAGGGGAGGGTAAAAGATGACTAAGAGTGAAGAAGTGTGATAGATTGATGCCACAGAGAATGGATGGAGGTTAGACTTCAAGGAGAACCACATAGGGAGGGACTTGAGAGTGGCCCAGAGGTGGGGAAAGGTAGGAGTTGGGATGGGAGAGGATCAGGCTTACATGGTTGGGTGGGAGCACATTCTTAAACACAAGTGCTTCATGCATGGTAGCATATTAGCAGTTACAAGCCCAAAGACACCCCCCCCCAGTCCCGTTGAGCAGCCTTGGGGTGGGGGCCAAGGCGCCCTGGCAGGCCGCCTGTCTGCTGCCTGCCTGTCTGAGTCTCTCCTTTGTGCTCTGCTGTCTCCCAGCTCCTCCTCCTCCCCCAGCCGGGTAGAGACAGCACATGCCCCACACATGTGACTGAGGGAAGCCAGAGCACACACAGACACACACACATGCACTCTCGGAAACACCACTAGACACACACACAGAGAACTCCCATAGTGCTCTTGGGATGGGACTTTGAACAGCTTCTGGAGCTGAAATGGCTAGGTTCCAGGAGAACCTCTGCTAAGGGGCATCACCACAAGCAGGATGCTGAGGGGGTCAGGGGCCTGTCTGGAGCAGCATGTGGCTCAGAAGGGTTAAGGCAGGGAGGCGTAGGGGGAGGGGAGGAGGCAGCAGTGGTGGCGGCTGGGAGCCAGGAGAGGATGGCAGAGCGCCAGGCCAACGGGAGGCCGGGCACAGACAAAGGAAGAGGGGCAGGCACAGTGGAGGCCTGGGTCAGGGAGCCCCAGGGGCCTGGGCAGGGGACAGTGCTGGTAGCTCATTTTGGAGACTGGGGGCTTGAAGGCCACTGCCTTCAATTTCTCACTTCAAGGAGGGGTACTCTCCCTCTGCTCTCTCATCACCTTTATCATTCTTTGTTGCTTCCAGCTCCTCTTCCCAATTTTAGGACCTCCTGACTTTTTTTTTTTTTTTTTGATGTAGACATTCTCTGCTCCCATGCAACTGGGAATTTGGTCAGGACTGAGAGAGGACCAGACTTCCTGGAGAAGGGAAATGAGGGAGCCTGTTTTAAATGATGTGCTTGTCTTATGAACCCTTCCACTCTAAATTTTAAGAGACAGGGGGAGCAGAAGCCAGAACACACACCCATCCCCTCCCACCCCCAACGTGGACAGTCATTTGAGGCCTGCAGTGGCCTTCCCTTAGAGGGGGAAGGAAGTCGGAATGGTTGCAGAGACCCAGGACTGAGTTTGTATGGAGCCCAGGGTTCTAGCTTCAGGTTCGTCTGTCTCACTGAGATCTCACTGTGATCTGTTCATGTTGGGATAATCCTTGGCCCAGTGTGCTCTTGAGTAACTGTATGTGTAAGTAGTAGAAAAGTTTAAGTAATACTATGAAACAAATAGAGGTTGTTCTCTCCGTGGAGGAGGAGTACTGTTATCCTCCAGTTGTACTATAAGTTTCAGTCAGTGGACATATCCAAGTCCTGGTGGTAGGAAGTATGTTGCAGGGTCTGGCTGAATGTCCTCTATTTCTCAATCTATTTAGGGAGGCTGTGTATAATATGGCCAGGCTGTGATGGGAAGTGTGTAGGTTTCAGGGAAGGTGGTTTATGGGGATCAGTTGCTGTGTAACAATGGTTGGGCTATGTATGTGTATGTGATAGTCTGTTTCTGCCTCAGGGGAGTGTAACACATTTTGGTGTGTGTATTTGAGTTAGGATGCCCACGTGTTGTAGGTCTCAGTATATATGAAAGCCAGAGTCTAACATGTGTGCATGTCCTGGGTTTGTGTATATTTAGAATTAAATGTATTACAGGTCAAAGTGTATCAGGTACAGTGAAAATACGATGTGTTATTTATGTGCCGAGGAAGATGTTTAGAGCCAGGTGCCATATTGAACTGTCAACTGGTGTGTATGTCAAGAGAAATCTTGTCCTTGGGGCCATATGTGAATATGGTGGAGGGAGAAAGGAGGGAGTACAAATTGCAAAGTAGAAGGTGATCTTGCTCCCCACCCACCCAACTTGTTTGTGTGTGTGCATGCCTTCCATTCCTATCCCCTTTCAGTGCAGGTTGTAAGGTCTGGATCACTACCCAAATTTTAGAAACACCTCTTACTTTAAGATGCCCCATTACGTTGGAGAACAGGCTCTACTCTACTAACCACATACCTTTTCCTCCCAGGGTGTGTGTGGGGAAATTCTGCAGCAGAGTGGACCCCTCTGGGACTCTCAGATGGGTACTGGCACATTTGCTTTTCCAAACTCTTTCTCTGCTACCTACCTGTCTGTGGGTTAGACATTGGACTGTTGACTGCAAATTCAAGCCCACTAGCAGATTTGCAGGGGAAAGATAAGTCTGTTTGCTTCCGTGAAGATTTACAGTCTCAGAAAACCTATATAGGGTCACTGTGCGTAGGAATGGACTCCATGCCAGTGTGTTTGGTTTTGGTTTGAGGAGACCAGGGCTTCCTATTAAGTGAGATCTAGCTTAAGGCATGGGGCCTGGGAAACCTGGAGTGTCCCCCCACCTTCCAATCTGTTTATTAGCTGAAGTTAGAATGTGTCTCTGCCAGAAATAACCCCCTATAACTTAACCCCAGCTGCTCTGGGATCTCACCAGGGTGGCAGCCCAGGCCATCTGAAGGATCCCAGAGTTGAGAGAGAAAGGTTTGGGGGACAATATGAATATATTGGGGGTTTGCAGAAAGGAGTGCACACTCTTCCATCACTGCCTGTGGCTTTGGCTCTCCAGAACCCTATGCCTAAAGCAGGCAGAGGAGATGCATTTCAAGCGTGGCCTCCCCAGGCCTCTCCTTCATCCAGGTCTCTGCCCGCCCTATCTGGTCGGCCTGGATCTCTCTGGCTCTGTCTCTCCCAGTCTCTGTCTCTCTTTTGTTTTTCTCAGCAGTCCCTCCCTCCCGGCCTCCCTCCCCTTTCGCTCCTTCTTCCTCTTTCTCGTAGGGAGGGGGCGGGGCCGGCGGGAGCTGCTCCACCCTCCGCCCGCCCTGGGGCCTCATTCTGAGAGAGACTCGGAGAGCGAGAGCGAGCAAGCGAACGAGCTGGCGGGGAGGGAGAGAAAAGGAGACAAGGAAGGGAGCCGGCGGGCGCTGTGTGTGTGAGACTCTGCGTGTGAGTGTGAGTGCGGGCCTTGCCTCTCCTGGTGGCCTCGCAGAGGAGCCCAGGAGCCAGGGAGCCTGGGGAGGGAGGGCGGACTGCTCGGAGGCAGAGGCTGCTGGAGGCGGCGGCGGGAGAGCCGAGGAGGAGGAGAGAGGAAAGAGCGGAGCAGCCATTGTTGAGGGAAACCTTGCAAACAAAGAAGACTCCGGACTCCCCGCGGCCCCCCGCCCCCCCGGCCAGCCCCCCGGCCCTCAGCCCCCGGCCCAGTGGCCATTGTAACTTTCCCCCGGGGCTGTGGCCGCCGAGGGGCGGGCCGCGGCAGTGTGTGCGAGTCTTTGTGCGGCCGGTGGAGTGGAGCTCCCAGCCAGGCCTGCCTGTCCCACTCGGGACATGAGCGGCTGAAGTTGGGCCCTCCCAAGTCCTCGTCCTTGCCAGGGCCCCTCTGGCCTATCAGTGCGCCCCGCACCTCTCGGGGCCCCCTCAGTTCTCTCAGGTAAGTTGGGGATGGGTGGAAGGTCCTCAGTCTGTCCCAGGCCTGGTGAGCTGGCTAAGGGGAGAGCTGTTCTGGCCCAGAGAGGTGGGGGCACCCAGGCCTGCTGATCTATGGTCAGCCCCAAAAGAAGGGGGCCAGCTCGCAGTTCAGGCTGGTTACCATGGAAATGCCCAACTGGAGGTGCAGGATATGGCTTTCATCCTGAGAAAACTTTCCTAGTTCTGGACTTGTCTTCTCTGCTGCTTCCTAAAGGTTCCTAGGATGGGAACCAGACCTGTCTGATTCCAAAGCTGATGACACCTCTCCTTCCACCCCCAGCCCCTACTTTGCTCCCTCTCCCATTTATACGGGGGACAGGCAGCAACAGGGACAGATGGTCTGGGTGATGTTCCCTCCCCTTCCTGCTCCCTAGCCTTTGCGTTGCCGGGACTGGGAGGTGCTTTGACTCTGGAGAGATGCTGAGTTTGTTGGTGTCCATTCACTGGAGGTGTAAATAGAGGTCCCAGAACGTTGGGCTTTTAGCTTATCAGAATTATTACCCAGGCCCAAGCGAGAGAAACTGAGGTCCTAGGACTTTTTTTCAGAATTGAAGAGGAACCCAGATCCCCTTTTTGTCTTCTCTTTAACATCTTGAGCTGATACATTTCTTTTCATGTCCTGAAACTGAAGGGACAAGGACAGTTATGGTTTTGGGAACAAGGTGGTCTAGTTATGGGATGAGGGCCAGGTCTGGTAGTCTACTCTTGGTTCATTGCCCAGGCCTGTGTGAGCTTTGGCTTCCTGTCTGGAGTGGGGTTTGGGGATAAGGTGGAGACGATTTCTTTCCTGAAGACACCTTTTCAGTCCATACTGGTATGTGAGGGCTGTGTGTGCTGTGCTCTGCTATGCTGATGCATGTGGTTGGGGCCTGTGAGAGTGCATATGTGGGGTGAGGGCTTATTGCCGGCACCCTGATCCTGCCCGGGGCTGCTGGGTTCCAGCCTTGGTAGGCATGTTAGGACGAGCTGAGGTGGAAGCCTGCTAGGCAGGATGAGGCACACACGTGTACAGGTACACACAAGCTGGTTCTTGGCACCTTCAGGGACTGTGCTGTATGAGCTCCTGTGGGACCCTCCTTTTGCCCACATTATAAGGAATAGGCCCTGGGGGGAGAATTAAATGACACATGTTGGCACAAGGTCTTCCTTTGTCTCTTCCCCCCCCCAAAAAAAACAACAAAATAGATACACCTGGTAAAGGTACTCTGCCAGTGCAAGCAGATACAGCTGGGTTAGAACCTGTGAGGGTGTGCCTCAGTTTCACCCTGCTGTCTGGTTGTGGTGGTGGTGGTGGTGTTAAGTGCCTTCAAATTGGCTCCAACCCATAGCAACACTGTATAGGGTTTCCGAGGCTGTAAATCTTTACAGGAGCAGAAAGCCAGCCTCATTTTTTTCCCACGGAACTGCTGATAGTTTTGAACTGCTGACCTTGAGGTTAGCAGCCCAACTTGTAACCACTACGCTACCAGAGCTCCTCCTGTCTGGTGAGGAGGCGAGAAATGGAATTGTGGAGGTTCGTGGCTTATACCCAACACTAAATATAATACTTCTTTCATTCAGGGAATGTGGTACACCTGGAATTGTGTGTCACTGATCTGGGGGGAAGTAGGGGCACGTGCACACACACTGACACACAGAGGCAGAGATCTCTGTCCATTTAGGCCTTGCCTACTAGACTGGGCTTCCCACTATATCATCCTCACCTCACCACTGAGACGCCATCCCAGGCCTCCAATTTTCCATTTGTGAATGGTGGGATCCAGGAGAGGCAAATCCCTCTGCACGTCTCAGAATCTGAGAAAGGGTTGATTCTGGTTTGGAGACAAACCCTACCCATGGTGGGTGTGGGGGAGGGGGCTAGGCGCGATAAGAGAGTGGCAGTTGGTAGGAAAAGCAGAAAGCCCAACTGGTTATCTGGGGGGCGGCACCCAACAGCACCCACCCCCCTTTATCTTTCTGTCCCCTGCCCTTATGAGACTCTGAGGATGGAGGAGGGGCAAATAATTGACAACCCCCCCCTTCCTTCCCTCAAACTTGGTCTCTAGAGGAAGGTAGAGGTGTGGGATGGTAGAAATGGTCCAGGATATGGGGATCAAAAGATCTAGGCTCAAGTCCTAGTTCTTCTGGCTCCCAACTCTGTGATCTTGGCAACTCTCTTTGAGTCCTCAGCTGCCCATCTCTAAAATAGGAGTAAAATTACAGGCCACCCTGTGACCTCACAAAGTTGTGTTGATTGAACAAAATATAGAGATAAAAAGAGTTTATCAAAATGAGATTTTAATGTGTGGATAATATTTATTCTCTTGTGATATCTTCTTCCTAGCTTAATTTCCTCTTATATCCAGGAGTCAGCCATATGAAGCAAGGGACTTGGGTGCAGACTGAGATCAGGGCTGATACTCCAAGTTTGTTAATAAAACAAGATTGGAACCAGATTTAGAAGCAGTGAATAGGTGTTTCCTAGACTTGCTTCCCCCCTGATCTCACCGTCTCCTATTATAATCTGGCCTGGGAACTCTAAGACTAGTTGCTGTCCACATGGGCTCATAGGCTTCCAAAAGATGTCCTGAAAGGGGCTCAGGGTAGTCCTTTCTTCCTTTCTCTTTTAGGTTGTTCCTCAAAGTCATTCAAGCTGTACTCGCCGAAGGAGCCCCCGAACGGCAACGCCTTCCCCCCCTTCCATCCTGGCACCATGCTGGATCGGGATGTGGGGTGAGTCATTTGCCCACTTCCCAGCTCTTCTCCAGACAGGATCCTGTCTGGAAGGGGAGGGAATAATCCCCCGAAATTCCTGTCTTGCAGCCCAACTCCCATGTACCCACCTACGTACCTGGAGCCTGGGATTGGGTAAGTAGAATCCAGTAGAGAGGGAAGTGCTCTGCTTTCCATTACAGGGTTGGGGGTCAAATGTGGAGACATTACTCCTACTGACTTCTTCATCTTTCATTCCCCACAGGAGGCATACGCCTTATGGCAACCAAACTGACTATAGAATATTTGAGCTTAACAAACGGCTTCAGAACTGGACAGAGGTATGGTCGAAGGAAAAGGGGCTGGCAGGAGAGGGCCATCTGGGTACCCTTGTGGAGTGTTCTGTGATAGACATATTCCACCCTGTGATCCTTAGGAGTGTGACAATCTCTGGTGGGATGCTTTCACGACTGAATTCTTTGAGGATGATGCCATGTTAACCATCACTTTCTGCTTGGAGGATGGACCAAAGAGATATAGTGAGTGGCCTCTGGATGTCCCTTGTGGGCCTGGGGGTCTTGCCAGTCCAGCTGTAAGAGTACATACTTCCTGTATACTTCAAGGTCTGGTGTTGGTGGTTGTGTGCTGTGGAGTCGGTTCTGACTCATAGTGACCCTGTGTAGGGTTTTGAGGCTGTAAATCTTTACGGGAGCAGAAAGCCTCATCTTTTCCTCACGGAACGACTGGTAGTTTTGAACTGTTGAACTTGATGTTATCAGCCTGACTTGTAACCACTACGCTAGCAGTGGTCTAGTTATGGGTAAATTGTCTGGGGAATCTGTTTTCAGGGGAGGTGTCTCTCTATCCCTTCAGAGGTCCTCCTGTCCTAAAGAATTTGTCCTATTTCTATAGCCATTGGCCGGACCCTGATCCCACGCTACTTCCGCAGCATCTTTGAGGGGGGTGCCACAGAGCTGTACTATGTGCTTAAGCACCCCAAGGAGGCATTCCACAGCAACTTTGTATCCCTCGACTGTGACCAGGGCAGCATGGTGACCCAGCACGGAAAACCCATGTTCACCCAGGTCAGCAGCGCAGCTAGAGGTGGGCGAGTAAGGCACCTGGGCTTGCTGCCCCTCCTCTCTCTCAGAATGTACTCACAGCTGTTTCACCTAGTTTTCTGGGCATCAGTTACACCAGCCCTCATAGAGCTTATAAAAGATGGGTGTGTCATTAGCTGCATGAGAGAAGACAGGATCTGTTAACATTTTGATGTATGTGTGAATAAGGGCCAGAGTTGTGACAGATATATGGGGGATGGGGGGTGCTGTGACAGTTATGTACTCGTACACATGTGCAGCTGGTGGCAGTAGTGTGTGTAGTAGAAACATTATGAACAAATGGGGGATTGCACCAGGGATACTTTCAGGTATGTGGGGAGGGAGCAGTGCTGTGACAAACCTGTCCTCAGGTGTGTGTCGAGGGCCGGTTGTACCTGGAATTCATGTTTGATGACATGATGCGGATAAAGACGTGGCACTTCAGCATCCGGCAACACCGAGAGCTCATCCCTCGTAGCATCCTTGCCATGCATGTGAGTGTGAGCCAGGACCCAAGGTGCAAGGGTGAGGGCAGATAGCAGACAGGGTGGGGCAAGGTCTGTCATTTCCTGACTGTAACCATAAACAAATGGGTAGGGGCTCTTTCTCTCATCTGACAAGTGGGTTTTATAATAGCCCCTACCCCTGTTCTCTCTCAGGAGCATCAGTGCGCTCAGATGAAAGAGCAGGTGAGCAGATGCATCCCTGGTGCCAGTATTCTTGTCTTTCTCCCTCCCCCAACCCCCCCAGGCCCAGGACCCCCAGATGCTGGATCAGCTCTCCAAAAACATCACCCGGTGTGGGCTGTCCAATTCCACTCTTAACTACCTCCGAGTAAGTTTGATTATCCATCTCTGCCCCACTCCTAACTGGTCTCAGCTCCATGTCTCTGCCTGACAGACCACCTTATGTTCTACTCCCCAGCTCTGTGTGATACTTGAGCCCATGCAGGAGCTCATGTCCCGCCACAAGACCTACAGCCTCAGCCCCCGCGACTGCCTCAAGACCTGCCTTTTCCAGAAGTGGCAGCGCATGGTAGCACCCCCAGGTAAGTGCCTTGTACCTGTACCTGCTCTTCCCAGGATCTGATACTGCTCCCCAAAGTTGTAGCTTCATTTCTTCATGAAGCTCTCCCTGCCCCCCATTCTGCAGTATTGGGGTCAGGGTAGACTCTCCCTCCTTAGGAGTCAGAATCAGGTCTTGGGAGCCAGGCCCTCTCCCACCTGAATCTCCTTTCCTTGGTGTAGCGGAGCCCGCACGGCAACAGCCTAGCAAAAGGCGGAAACGGAAGATGTCAGGGGGAAGCACCATGAGTTCAGGGGGTGGCAACACCAACAACAGTAACAGCAAGAAGAAGAGCCCAGCCAGCACCTTCGCCCTCTCCAGCCAGGTACCTGTAAGCATCTCGGCTTTCTTCTCTCTTCTGGGCTGCCCTACCATTGACCCTTGACCCCTGCCCCAGCCTGAGCTCACTAACATGCATAGGAAAGTAAAGACGGTTTTTCATACTGTTTCTGTCAGTAGAGGCTGACTTCTGTCACTGATGAGAGTCCTTGTCAGTCACATGTGTGCTTGTGGTCACACAGACTTAGGTATAGGAACATAGGACATAAAGGGACAAAGGACAGTGACCTCCATGAGAACTCACAGATGTTCAGGACAGACAGGAGGAACACAAGCCATCAGAGGCACGTACACTCATACTGATATAGGAACACAGACTTGAATGATCTAAGACACGTACACGGCACATGTCCACACCATCCCTACCTATGTTTTTGATCTCTCTCTCTCTCTCTCTCTTACCTGTGGACAGAAGTTTAGGAACCCCTTAATCTTTTTTTAAGGAGACAGGCTGGGGAGCTAGGGAAGTGGATTGCCTTTGCCCACAATCTAGTTGAACATGGGCTAGAGGCTGTGAGGCTCTGGAGGCCTTCATTGGAAAGGACTCCAGGAGCTGAGGGTATTGGAGGGGCTGGGATTTAAAACGTGGGAGTGAGTAGAGGGTGGAGGGTGTTGAGTTTTTGGGCCGGGTATCGGGGTTCTTGGGGTGTCTACCGCCCTGGGCTGGGCGAGCCCCTGCCCCGATTATGTTTGGGGACCTCCGCCACTCTCAGGATGTGATGGTGGTGGGGGAGCCCACCCTGATGGGCGGGGAGTTCGGGGACGAGGACGAGAGGCTCATCACCCGGCTGGAGAACACCCAGTTCGATGCGGCCAACGGCATTGACGACGAGGACAGCTTTAACAACTCCCCTGCACTGGGCGCCAACAGCCCCTGGAACAGCAAGCCTCCTTCCAGCCAGGAAAGCAAATCGGAGAACCCCACATCACAGGCCTCCCAGTAAAGGCCCTGCCATGGCCACCCAGCATTCTGCCTGCCTGCCCTATCCCCTGAAGCCCCAGGGAGCAAAAGACAGAATGAAGAAACTGAGCATCTAAAATGGGCAGCTTCCATTCACCCACTTCAGGGAGGAACGGGACTCACTAGGGGCAGGTGCCAAGATGTGTTTCCCAGTGGCCCTGGACTGGGCCTGCCCTCTGCAGAGCCTTTTTGGGGAAGGGGGAACTCTTGTGGATGTCCACGTAGATCCTGACCTCCAGAAAAAAATAAATGTCCTGATCACCCCCTGGGGCATTTGCCTCCACCCTCACTGGGTTCCCCATCCCCTTGACTTCACTTGCTTCAAGCTGAGGGTGGGATTGTATACAACAACAGCCTTTAGGGACTTAAAAATTTCAGGGCTTGGCTGAATGCCCCTACCCCTCCTTCCAGGTGGCTGGTAGAAGGGTAAAGCTCTGGACTCCTCCTCCCTTCTGCTACCTATCCTAGCTCTGAGTTTTTAAAAAAAAAAAAAAAAAAGTAATATTAAAAATGTAAGTTTTTAAAAAGAAGAAAATCATCATGTCCCCCGCTCCCCTTTACTGAAAGTCCAGCTACCTCCCACGCCTGGCAGATAGAGCCTGGGGCCCAGGTGGGGGCAGGGGGCTATGCATACCATTTTATACAGTTTAAGAGCTTCAGACCAAGGAGACAATTTGCCATCTCTCTTCCCTCTTCCTCTTGGATGACAAGTAAGGGGAAGGCCTGCCATGGGGAAGGGGAGGTCATTGATGGCCACATCTGCCCATCTTTATGACAACCCTGCATCGTCTTCTCTGTCCCTTCATCCTCCTGGACTCTGGCCGGCCTGCCCTCCTAGTGCTTGTGATTCCCATGATCCCCAACCTTAAACCATGCCCCTCCCAAGGTGTCTTTATTCTTTACAAGCCCTCCACTAGAGCAGCTATCTGGGTTGGGGGAGGGGAAGCTTATCCCTTAAGGAGCTTGGATGGAAGGAAACAACCTTGTTCATTGCTGTGTTTTTTGTTTTGTCTCAGTTGGGTGGGCATGGACTGGGGAGAGCTTCATCCACTCTCTGAATACCCTTTCCCTCAGGCCTCCACTGCTTATCTAGTGCTGGCTACCTTTCCCTCCATAGAGAAGGGAATACTGAGGGTGTCCAGCTCTAAGCCTACCCCAGGGGAAACAGGCGACCATCCACCCAGCTGAGTCTCCCTAAGCCCCCTCCCCCTCCTTCCTTATAGAAGGTAGGAGGCAGCCAGGCTCCTCAGTTCCATCTCACAGATGGAGATGCGTCCCAGGGTGAGGCCAAGAGCAGGGTCCCATGAGTATAGTCCCAGCTCTGTGGCTTTGCTGCCTTTTTCCCCATGGCCAGTCCTAGAAGTTAGCATTACCTCTCACCCCACTCCTTCCTCTGGTTTCTGGGGTCTCCCACCCCCAGTTCCCTCTACTCCAGCTGCCACTATTAGAAGGGTATTGTGTCAGGAGCTGAGGGGATAGGTGGGGAACATGGATGTCCCATCCCAACTGTAATGCCTTTTTTTTTTGTGGGTGGGGGGGCCATTTGAGTCATGTATGGTACCAGTCAATAAAGAGAGTTTTCGGTTTGAGAGTGTCCTGGTTGGTCATTGATCCCCAGTAATGACTTAGTTCAAATTAATCTTTCCCACTTCCTTCCTGCCAGGGCCCTAAGACCTAAGGAAAGGTTATGAATTTCCCTTCATGCTCTTCTCATTTTCTCTGACTAATACGGTGTTTCTCCTCTGATTTACTTCTCCTTCACCCCTGACCGTAAAGCATGCCTCTGTCACCCTGGGAAACTTACCCCTTAGAATCCTGCCCCCTGGTTCTTCCCCCCCTAACTGCCATGGAGTTGCCAGCCAGAAGTGACCCCTTGAGGCCAGGTTCCTGGCATAGACAGGTCTAGATTAGGTGGCCTGTGTGAGAAGAGGTCCTGTGCAGACAGGCTTAGGTTGAAGGAGCTTTGGACAGTTAGAATGCCTGTGAGACTCAAGTATTGTCAGTGAAGTTCCTACCTGACCCAACCCTGTCTGCCAGCTGGCCTAACTAAACTAGTCGTCCCCTGTTGGTAACTTCTTCCTGGGTGGAGATTAAGAGAAAACGTCTCCTTGCTGAGTTTGGGTGTGGGAACTGGAGGGAGGAGGATAGGGAATGCCTAGTGCTGGTGCTAAGGGCACCCTGGAACTCCATAGGAAGATGGAAGTCTAGAACAGTTAGAGCTACTCCCAAACTCCATAGAACTTGGAAGTCTAGAACAGTTAGAGCTACTCTCAAACTCCATAGGAAGATGGAAGTCTAGAATAGTTAGAGCTGCTCTCAGTGACTCGTGGGACATATTTATGGCAGTAGAACTACCCCATAGAGTTTCCCCAAACTGTCATCTTTATGAGAGTATATTGCCAGGTCTTTGCTGCAGAGCTACTGGTGGGTTCAAACTGCCAACTTTGATTTAGCAGCTGAATGCGTAACCATTGTGCCACTAGAATTCTTACAACAGTTACTAGGAGGAGGACTAGGACACCTTTCAGACTCCTCCAGATAGTCTTCCATTATCAAAGAAGATTAACAAGACAGGAAGACCCTTCTGTGGGTTGGAGAAGGAATCTTAGTACCCACCAAGCCTCTTTCCCAGTCTCCCTCATTTTCATTCCAGGCAGGGGAAACTATGGTCTCAGACTATGAAACTATTCCTCCTCTCCCCCCTCCCAAGAGTCAGTCCCTGCCTCCACCCCTGCTAGCAGGAAGAAACAGGAAGTGAGAGTCACACAGCCCACCTTACACACACACACATACACACACACACACACACACACACACACACCAATCCAGACCTTGGCCCTGCCCTGCTAAAGCATAGCTCAGCCCCAGGATCTCAAGGCCTAATTGGCTTCCCCAGTCATCTGCATACCTGACCAAACGATACTGACCAACTAACTGCTGTCACCAAGTCACCCTGTGAATGCCAGGTAACAACTGCAGTGGGATTGTGTCTGGCTTTGATGTATATATTGACCTTTGTGCTTGAGTGTGCTAGTAGTGTATATGTATGTAAGTGACTGCTGTGCTGGGAGGGGGCATGTATCTGTGCATGTCAGGGAATATATACATGTGAGTCCATATGGAGGCATATTGTTGTTATGTGCCGTGGAGTTGGTTCTGACTCATAGCGACCCTGCACAGGGTTTCCGAGGCTGTTAATCTTTACGGGAGCAGAACGCCTCATCTTTCTCCCATGGAGCAGCTGGTAGTTTCAAACTGCTGACCTTGTGGTTCACAGCCCAATTCATAACCACTACGCTACCAGAGCTCCTTATAGAGGCATATAGATGCATATATTTTAGGTATGTATCTGCTGGTGAATTCATTCCTTCACCTAATATACATCTAGCCTCTGTGCCAGCCACAATTCTAGGTGCTAGGAGTACTGTGTTGAACAAGACAGAGAAAGGTGTAATTGCTGTGTGTGAGTGGGAGGGTATGTTACATGGCTTAGCAGTGGATTATGGAGCTGCAGGAGGCAGTGGTTGTGTGACTGGGTTGGGCATTTGCTGGTTAACATCCCGTGTGTGTGTTTTAGGGGAGAGGGTCAAGAGACCCAGAGAATCCCTGCTCTGCTTGGAATGTACTATTTGAACTTGGGAAATGTGATGGCCTGGGAGTTCCTCTGGAGTCCCACATCTGACTCTTCCCCGTTTGCTTCCAGCTGCCTCTCTGGATAAGGAAGCCCTTCCTAAAAAGGGGTTTCTGGAGTCAGGGAAAGAGCAAGGTCCTCTAAAAACCCCCAGGTCCTATTTCTAGGTACAGATGTGGACCCAACTCCAGACCCCAGCAGGTACTTGTCTCAGGCAGGGCCTCATTGAAAAGGGATGGGGTCCTCCACCATACACTGTGGGCCCTCTTGAACCTTGTGCAGTCCTGTGGTTGTGAGCCATTGAGTCTATTTCAACTCGCAGTGCTCCTATATAACCGAGTAGAACTGCTTGGTTGGGTTTCCTCGCTATAAGCACTATGAGGACAGATTGACAGGTCTTTTCTCCCGTGGAATGACTGGTGGGCTGAAGTCACTGGTCTTTAAATTAGCAATCAAGCAGAAGTGCCTAACCAATGCACCATCAGGGCTTCCCAAGAAGAACCTCAGCCTAATCCCAAATCATCCCTATCCCCAGACCTCCAGTTCAGTCCAACCCTAGCTCCTTTCCTATGTTTCTTGACCTAATCCTATCCATCCTGACCTCCAACCGCAGGAAATAACTCCTAATTTTCCCAGCCTGGCCCTTAACTCCTTCTCTAAGACCCCTGGCCTAGTTCAGGAGAATCTCTGGCCCTCTTAGCCCGGTCCAGCCTGATCCATAGTCCCCCAAAAGCGGGATCCCAGCACAGCCAGCCCAGTTCAGTTTATTTTGATCTTAAATTCCTTTCCCAAAGGGGAAAATCTCTTAAGCAGCCCTCTCAGAACCTCCCTTCTTCCTTTTTCAACAAAGTAAGACCTTATCAGGATTTGTAGTAGAGGTGTTTATAAGGAGAAAGTTAGCTACAAGAGGTCAATAAGGTCAGGAGATGCTGAGGGAGGTCCATATGCATTCTTGGATGGCTAAAAGGAAGAGAAGACATACAAAGTTCTGAGTTGGCAGTCCCCTATTTCCAACGTGGATTTAAAAAGTGCTGGTTCTGCTCTGCTGGCTCCGACTCCCCAGGACATGGAGTACATACAGTAACTATTGCCCATGTGAACACAGTCTTCTCAAGTCCCATCCTCAGGTCTTCCATGAAGCCAGAACAGAAAATGGATGGAAGACTATAATACACCCTTTTCCACCAGTCTGAGACATTTTTTCTGAGGTAGCTAAACCCTGAGTTACCTTACCTCACCTCTATGCCACTAGTTAACCTCTCCAGGAGGAGGATGTTGTTGTTGTTATGTGCCATCGAGTCGGTTCCGACCCATAGCGACCCTGTATAGGGTTTCCGAGGGTGTAAATCTTTACGGGAG